ATTAATCACGTACAGTCTTTCCTTCAATCTGCTCCTTATTACTAGAGGCCTCTATCTAGTTTCCTTAAATGTGTAGTCCTGGCCCTTGGCCCTGATCCATTTCTTTCTGTTTTTTTCCAGTGCACATGTATATTTTATATTCAGGATGCACACACTGAATCACATTACTTAACAATACTATGTGCAGTGCATCTTGGTATTTCCCATTTTGTATCATTAAAAAAAAATACTTATTGTGGCTGGATGTGGTGGCTCACACCTGTAATCCCATCACTTTGGGAGGCCAAGGTGGGAGGATCACTTGAGCTCAGGAGTTCAAGGCTGCAATGAACTATGATTATGCCACTGCACTCCAGCCTGGGCAACAGAACGAGATTCCCTGACTCTTTGAAAAAATTAAAAAATTAGCCAGGTGTAGTGATGCATGCCAGTAGTCCCAGGTACCCAGGAGGCTGAGGTGAGGAAACTGCTTGAGTCCAGGAGACTGAGGAACCAGTAAGCTATAATTATGCCACTGAACTCCAGCCTGGGTGACAGAATGAGACACTGTCGTTTTTTTTTTTTTTTTTTTGAGATGGAGATTTGCTCTTGTTGCCCAGGCTGGAGTGCAATGGCCTATCTCGGCTCACTGAAACCCCTGCCTCCCGGTTTCAAGTGATTCTCCTGCCTCAGCCTCCTGAGTAGTTGGGATTACAGGCGCCCACCATCACACCCAGCTAATTTTTCTATTTTCAGTAGAGACAGCGTTTTGCCATGTTAGGCTGGTCTTGAACTCCTGACCTCAAGTGATCCACCTGCCTCGGCATCCCAAAGTGCTGGGATTACAGACATGAGGCACTGTGCCTGGCCTACAGACACTGTCTTAAAAAAAAAAAATTATTGAGACCCATCAAAGAGTTGCCATCTGCAATGTGAAAATGGTAACCAGAACCATAGTTAACAGTTCACTGTTAGGACTGATTATGCTGGTTATGACCTTGAGTGGCGCTCAGCTTTTTATCTGGTTTCCTATCTCAGCCTCCCAAGTAGCTGGGACCACAGGTGTGTGACACCATGCCCAAGTAATTTTTTAAATATTTTGTAGAGCTGAGTTCTCTCTATGTTGCCCAGGCTGGTATTGAACTCCTGGGCTAAGAGAACCTCCTGTCTTGGCCTCCCAAAGTGCTAGAATTACAGGCATGAGCCACCTCACCTGAGTATTCCTGAAGTGCACGAGTGATTTTTAAGAGCATCACAAGTATATAATAAAATCTTGTTATTTCAGTTGTCCAACTTTAGGATAATATATTCTGCCCTTCTTTACAATCATTTAAGAAGTTTATAGGAAATTTAATACTAAAGAAGAAACGGTTTTGGGAGTACTCACTATAACATAGCACCTTCCTCTTATTATTTTTATGCAAATCTGGCAATATTTTACTCACTCCAATTATTTGGCTCAAGGATGCATGGATTTTTAATGTTATGTTTTGACAGGAACAGTATTGCCAAAGACCTCACTTCTAAGAGCAGAGATACTGAACAGTAGAAGCTGTCATGATGATGACCTACTACAGGCTGTTCTGGGTGAGCTGACATAGACCATTATATAAACTAATCCATATAAAATGTTTATATCATGAACCAGGCAGTAAGATTCACTGAACTGCTGCCTCTCTAAAAATATTCAAGGGCTTCTGGCCATTAAAAATTTGTGTAAGACTAGAATTACTGACATATTAAGTGACAGGCATGTTTTGGTCAGCTAATAATTCACAGAAAATGTCACATGGCTTCTGTTCTTCTCTTATAATAATTTTTATAGTACTGGGTATATAATAATAATAATATTTACTGTATTGTCTATTGGATATTAAAATTCAGAACCTGGCCAGGCACGGTGGCTCATGCCTGTAATCCCAACACTTTGGGAGGCCAAGGTAGGTGGATCACCTGAAGTCAGGAGGTCAAGACCAGTCTGACCAACATAGAGAAACCCCTTCTCTACTAAATACAAAAAAATTACCCAGACGTGGTGGCGCATGCCTGTAATCTCAACTACTTGGGAGGCTGAGGCAAGAGAATCTCTTGAACCCGGAAGCAGAGGTTGCAGTGAGCTGAAATCACGCTATTGTACTCCAGCCTAGGCAGTAAGATGGAAACTCCACCTCAATAATAATAATAATAAATAAATAAATAAATAAAATCCAGAACCTAGCCCAGACACCATTGCACTCCAGCCTGGGCAACAAGCGATTCTCCTGTCTCAGCCTCCTGAGTAGCTGGGATTACAGGTATGCACCACCATACCAGGCTAATTTTTAAATTTTTAGTAGAGATGGGCTTTCATCATGTTGACCAGGCTGGTCTTGGAACTTCTAACATCAGGTGATCCACCTGTCTTGGCCTCCCAAAGTGCTGGGATTACAGGCGTGAGCCACCGCACCCAGCCTGTTTGTTTTTCAGAGATGAAGCCTTACTGGCTATGTTGCCCAGGCTGGAATGCAGTAGCTGTTCACAGGCATAGTCATTGTATATTACAACCTCAAACTCCTGGGCTCAAGCAATCCTTCTGCTTCAGCCTCCTGAGTAGCTGGGATTACAGATGCACGCTACCACACCTAGTTTACCCTGTAGGTTTTAAGAAGGCAAGGGAGACAGGATGGGTGTAGTGGTTCACACCTGTAATCCTAGCACTTTGGGAGGCCAAGCCAGACAGATCACCTGAGGTCAGGAGTTCAAGACCAGCCTGGCCAATATGGAGAAACCCCATCTCTACTAAAAATACAAAAATCAGCCAGGCATGGTGACGCAAGCCAGTAATCCCAGCTACTTGGGAGGCTGAGGCAGGAGAATCACTTGAACCTGGGAGGCGGAAGTTGTAGTGAGCTGAGATTGCGCGGCTGCACTCCAGCCTGGGCAACAGAGCAAGACTCTGTCTCAAAACAAAAACAAACGAACAAAAAACAAACCAGAGGAGGGAAGAAAGGTAGAGACCGAGGAAGAAATGAGATTTATTTAGAGTTCTTTTAGTTAGAAGCAGCATAATATATTAAGATTTAAGTTCTAAGAGACTGAATGGTAAACTGAGCTCAGGAAATAGAAAAAAAATTAAGATTATAGAAATATTCACTGGTGTCAGAAACCTGGAGTCTTGGCTCTGTAACCTTGAGCAAGTTCTCTATCTCTTCTAAACCTCAGTTAGCTCAACTCTAAAATAAATAACACTTGAACCTCAAAGGGTTGTTGTGAAAACTTGAGTAATTCAAGTAAAGCTGTAAAAGGGCTCAATAAATGTTGGCTATTATGAGAGACAGTAGTTTAAAAACTCTAAAACAATAAGGCAAGCAGGTGAAAACATTTGTAATAACAGCAAAATCCTAGTCCACAGCATTTTAAGTGGAATTCTAGTTTTGAGGCTAAGAGGGCAGACTCTAGGGTCTTAACCTCACTGGACAGTGACAGTGTTCTCCTTCTCTTTCTAGCTGCACCAGAAAGAGCACTCTGAGAGCTGCACCCCCTTCAATGTGTAACACAGAGCTGACTAAGGTATTTAGCTCTGGCCGGTTAACAAGAGATGATATCATCATTAAATCCTATGGGCAAAGTAACTCAGCTTTAAAGATCTTTGGCCACTCCAAAATAGGAATGTAAAATAAATACGCATTATTCCGTGGAATTCTGCCTTTTCATTTTTAAGGTTGGTACCCTTTTCTACACATATATCCTCCTCTGACAAGCATAAGATGATTAACATAATGTAAGAGTACTTGGCATTTCAGCACCCAGTACTTGGCAGGATAACCTCAACAATATTTATACACATATATTTTTTGAGACAGAGTCTCACTCTGTTGCCCAGGCTGGAATGCAGTAGCGAAATCTTGGCTCACCACAACCGCCACCTCCTGGGTTCAAGCAATTCTCTGCCTCTGCCTCTCAGCTTCCCGAGCAGCTGAGATTCCAGACACCTGCCACCATGCCCGGCTAATTTTTGTATTTTTATTAGGGACAGGATTTCACCATGTTGGCCAGGCTGGTCTTGAACTCCTGACCTTGTGATCCACCCACCTCGGCCTCCCAAAGTGCTGGGATTACAGGTATGAGCCACCAAGCCCAGCCAATTGTTTTTTTTTGAGATGGCGTTTCATTTTTGTCACCCAGACTGGAGTGCAGTGGTGTGATCTTGGCTCACTGCAACCTCTGCCTCCTGGGTTCAAGTGATTCTCCTGCCTCAGCCTCCTAAACAGCTGAAATTGCAGGTACCTGCTGCCACACATGGCTAATTTCTTTGAGTTTTGGTAGAGATGGGGTTTCACTATGTTGGCCAGGCTGATCTCAAACTCCTGACCTCAGGTGATCCACCTGCCTCAGTCTCCCAAATTGCTGAGATTACAGGTGTGAGCCACTGCACCCTGACAATATTTTTATATCTTTTCTTTTAATTTTTATTTTTTTTGACACAGGGTCTCACTCTGTTGCCCAGGCTGAAGTGCAGTGGCAAAATCACAGCTCTCTTCAGCCTCAACTTCTTGGGTTCTCATCTCAGCCTCCTGACATATCTTTTTTTTTTTTTTTTTTGAGACGGAGTCTCACTCTGTCGCCCAGGCTAGAGTACAGTGGCATGATCATGATCTCAGCTCACTGCAACCTCTGCCTCCCGGGTTCAAGCAATTCTCCTGCCTCAGCCTACTGAGTGGCTAGGATAACAGGCATGTGCCACCACGCCTGGCTAATTTTTGTATTTTTAGTAGAGTTGGAGTTTCACCACGTTGGTCAGGCTGGTCTTGAATTCCTGACTTCATGATCTGTCCACCTTGGCCTCCCAAAGTGCTGGGATTACAGGCGTGAGCCACTGTGCCTGGCCTATATCTTTTCTACCTTTCTTTATCCTCTCACTTTTTTTTCCCTCCCTCTTCCCCACCATTCCTTAATTTTAAAAAATATATATTTAGTAAACAACAAATTTATTCTTCCCCCAATGCTAAAGTATTTAATTCATATTTTAAAACAGGGCAAAAATTAAATTAAAACATTTCCCACGTAGGTGGCCCAACTGAACTGTCCTGTGGGTCAGTAGTCTTCAGCAGAAGGGGTTAAAAAAAGGGGAAAAGTTTTCCATTTCCATATTATATTCTAACTTCTATTTGGAAAGAATAATGCTAATATTGTAAAAAGTAACAGAGGGGCCAGGTGCAGTGGCTCAAGCCTGTAACCCCAGCACTTTGGAAGGCCGAGGCGGGTGGATCACAAGGTCAAGAGATCGAGACCATCCTGGTCAATATGGTGAAACCCCGTCTCTACTAAAAATACAAAACATTAGCTGGGCATGGTGGCACGTGCCTGTAATCCCAGCTACTCAGGAGGTTGAGGCAGGAGAATTGCCTGAACCCAGGAGGCGGAGGTTGCGGTGAACCGAGATTGCGTCATTGCACTCCAGCCTGAGTAACAAGAGTGAAACTCTGTTTCAAAAAAAAAAAAAAAAAAAAAAGTAAAGAGGAGACATAATAAATAATTTTTTCCCCTCTTCCTATTAGCTTAAACAATTTTTTTTAGGCTATTACATTTTAACCCATTTGACAGAGTTAATATTTGGAGGAATATTTAAAAACAACAAAAGCAAAACTATTACCTTTACTAAATGAGGCTTCACCAAGGTTACTACTGATGTATATCGCTCCAATACAGGTGGAAATCCAATTTCTAATCGTGTTTTACAATATCCAGATCTCTTTAATAAAACATCTGATTTTTTGCACCAAGGAACGAAATGCTTGTAATCCTCCATACCCGATACCACATCATACATTTCCTGCATTGAATATCTTAAAAAAAAAAAGAGGTGTTAACTCCATTTAGTTCTATGGTATATGCATACTTTAAAGTGAATATGAATAAAATTTACTGTGTATGATAAACAAATCTCAACACTTATGTTGAACCACATTCTGGAATCAATGACTTCAAAGCAACACAGAAAATAAAAGGTCTCTAAATAAACATATATGGCAGAGATCATAATTTGGTATCTCACAGGTTAAAACTGATCTAAAGAGGTAGTTTTTAAAATTTTACTAGCCAGAATTTAAAAATTGAGAGTATGGTCAGGCACAGTGGCTGGGGAAGCTGAGGCAGGCAGATCACCTGAGGTCAGGAGTTTGAGGCCAGCCTGGCTGACATGGTGAAACCTCATCTCTACTAAAGATACAAAAATCAGCCAGGTGTAGTGGCACATACCTGCAATTCCAGCTACTCAGAGGCTGAGACATGAGATTTGCTTCAACCCAGGAGACGGAGGTTGCAGTGAGCCGAGATCATGCCACTGCACTCCAGCCTGAGCTACAGAGTGAGACCCTGTATTCTCTCCCTCCTTCCCTCCCTCCCTCCCTCCCTCCCTCTCTCTCTCTCTCTCTCTCTCACACACACACACACACACACAGTAAAGCAGACTAAATCACTATTTTTTTAGTTGCCATTTCTCTCTCTCTCTTTTTTTTTTTTTTTGGGACGGAGTTTGCTCTGTCACCAGCCTGGAGCACAGTGGCACAATCTTGGCTCACTGCAATCTCTGCCTCCCAGGTTCAAGCGATTCTTCCACCTCAGCCTCCCGAGTAGCTGGGACTACAGGTGTATGCCATCACGCCCGGCTAATTTTTGTATTTTTAGTAGAGGCAGGGTTTCATCATGTTGTCCAGGATGGTCTCGATCTCTTGACCTCGTGATCTGCCCGCCTCAGCATCCCAAAGTGCTGGGATTACAGGTGTGAGCCACTGCGCCCGACCACCATTTCTCTTTTTAACAGGTAACACCTGTGGCAATGATGTATATCCAGATTTGCACTCCTTTTACATGGTGCTGTTGCTAAAAAGTACCTGCCCATCAGGAGCAACAATTCCCAGTCCCCATTCCCCCTGCGTTTAGATGGGGTCACAACTAGCCTTTGCTAGTAATATCTGGGAGGAGGTGTTGTGTGTCAACTCCAGACCAATGTGATTAACACTCTGAAGACTAAGTAATTACAGAGGCCAAAACTGGGATGGAGCCTGGGTTTCTGAGTTACTACTTGGACTGGAGTAGAGGGAACACCCATTTGAACTCTACATGAGAAAAAAAACTCTTGGTTATTATCTACATTTACCTTAACTATTACAAAGACTAGTTAGTAATAAAGTCAAACTTAATGAACAGTGCTGTTAAGTGTTTTACTATAGAAAAATAAGAAGAACAGGCCGGGCGCGGTGGCTCAAGCCTGTAATCCCGGCACTTTGGGAGGCCGAGGTGGGTGGATCACGAGGTCAAGAGATCGAGACCATCCTGGTCAACATGGTGAAACCCCGTCTCTACTAAAAATACAAAACATTAGCTGGGCATGGTGGTGCGTGCCTGTAATCCCAGCTACTCAGCAGGTTGAGGCAGGAGAATTGCCTGAACCCAGGAGGCGGAGGTTGCGGTGAGCCGAGATCGCGCCATTGCACTCCAGCCTGGGTAACATGAGTGAAACTCCGCCTCAAAAAAAAAAAAAAAAAAAAAAAGAAGAACAAAAGCTAATGAGTAAAATTAATGAAATGTACTTTTACAAAGCTTCATGTAATACTTAATGGCCAATTGGGAATTAACAGCCACTTGTAGAAATTCCTCTAAGGAGGGATGGTGTATTTCTGGTTTGGCAGAACTGTAGTGTCTTCATTATCTGTTCTATTTACCCCTAGATCAGGAGCCAAACCTGGTTCATCACCTGTTTTTTTTTTTTTTTTGAGATGGAGTTTCGCTCTTGTTACCCAGGCTGGAGTGCAATGGCGCGATCTCCGCTCACCGCAACCTCCGCCTCCTGGGTTCAGGCAATTCTCCTGCCTCAGCCTCCTGAGTAGCTGGGATTACAGACACGCGCCACCATGCCCAGCTGATTTTTTGCATTTTTAGTAGAGACGGGGTTTCACCATGTTGACCAGGATGGTCTCGATCTCTTGACCTCGTGATCCACCCGCCTCGGCCTCCCAAAGTGCTGGGATTACAGGCTTGAGCCACCGCGCCCGGCACCATCACCTGTTTTTGTAAATAAAGTGTTACTGGAATGTGGCCACACCCATTTATTTACATATTATCTATATCTGCCTTTGGACTACAGTGACATGGCTGAGCAGTCTCTATGGCCCACAAAACCTAATATAGTTACTTTCTGTCCCTTTACAGAAAGTTTATCAAAGGCTCTAGATGAGGAGCTTTAGTATGTATGTACTTATTTATGTATGTCTGTACATGAGGAAGCTATCTAAACATATGGCCCAATGTATCAGTGATGTTGCTACTAAAGAAAAGAACAATGTACAAAAAATGTAGATCATAATTTTCTTTACATGTCAAAGATTTAAGTCTATACTAAAAAGTTACTATAGAATTATATTCATTCAACAAATATTTGTAAAATAGCAAAGGCTATGAAAAAAAGCCAACCTAGGCTGAGAGCGGTGGCTCACACCTGTAACCAGAACTTTGGGCAGCCGAGGCAGGTGGATCACAAGGTCAGGAGTTCGAGACCAGACTGCCCAACGTAGTGAAAGCCCATCTCTACTAAAAATACAAAAATCAGCCAGGCATGGTGGCACGCGCCTGCTACTCAGGAGGCTGAGGCAGGAGAATCGCTTGAACCCAGGAGGTGGAGGTTGCAGTGAGCCAAGATTGCACGACTGCACTCAAGCCAGGGTGACAGAGCAAGACTCCATCTCAAAGCAAACAAAAAAGAAGAAAGAAAAAGGTCAACCTAGAAAAAACAGAGTTAGTCTGTAAGAAGATAATCCAGAGAGAAAGAGGCAGGATATCCTACAGAAAATTATGAACATGTTCTTTTAGTAGAATTCTTATATACAAACCCTAAAATTCTTCTCTCTGAATATTCTTTCCTTTTGTTTATTAATGGTGCAGCAATTTTGAAGAAAGTTCTTGCACATATTTCCTTAGGCAAAACTGAGGTATGTAGTGGAAGAGTTCTGCTCATCAGTATACCACAAGAAGCTAAATATCTGAAAAGACAAAAAAATTACCTGACTTAGAGTGATAGTAAAAATAAAGAGGAGACACAAATTAGAGAGACTGTAATTATCACACTTCAGAAGGCTTTGCAACTTCAGAATGTTCCTGAAAAAAATACACACATGGGCACAGAAAAAGTATAGCTTCTTAAGCACTGTAAAAAAGAAAACCCTAAAAACAGCTTAGTTAGGTTAGAAGCTTCTGGCATAAAAGGTATCTCTCTCAGAAAGTTGGCTTTCACTCTGTAGTCATGTGTTACAATTTACTATTGCCATAAGCTTTGCTAGATACACAAATCTATTGTCCAATTTGTGTTGTCTACCCATGTTGTTTTCCCAGCTGGATCCATAGATGTTTCTTAATTCTTGATCCACCCCAGTGAGACTTAAAATTAGGTCTCAAATCTGTTGGCAGAGATCTGGTGCTCCTGTCAGTACTGATGCCAAGTATGGTGGCTCAATCCTGTAATCCCAGTGCTTTGGGAGGCTGGTGCATGAGAAACCCTTGAGGCCAAGAGTTTGTGACCAGCCTGAGCAACATAGTGAGCCTGTCTCTACAAAAAAAAAAAATGAGCCGGGCATGATAACATATGCCTGTACTTCCTGTTACTCAGGAAGCTGAGGCAGCAGGATCACTTGAATCCAGGAGTCTGAGGTTGCAATGAGCTATGAAGACACCACGGCACTGCAGCCTGGGTAAGACTCTGTCCCAACAAAAACCAACCGCTGCTGTGTTCTTCTTTACCTCCCAGTCTCCATGTCAATGCATATACGTAAAAATATGTCTAGTTAACTAGAATGTTATTGTTCGAGGTTGTATGTACAAATGCCTAATATATGCTACCTAAGTATTTTAAACTTTCTCTAATAAGATTATTACATAACTGACTGGGTGTGGTGGCTCATGCCTGTAATCCCAGCACTTTCGGAGGCTGAGGCAGGAGGATCACAAGGTCAGGAGATGGAGACTATCTCCTGATAGTCTCTACTAAAGATACAAAAATTAGCTGAGCATGGTGGCACGTGCCTGTAGTCCCAGTTACTCGGGAGGTTGAGGCAGGAGAATCACTTGAACCCAGAAGGCAGATGCTGCAGCGAGCTGAGATCACGCCACTGGACTCCAGTCTGGGTGACAGAGCGAGACTCCGTCTCAGAAAAACAAACAAACAAACAAACAAAAAAAACAGATTATTACATAAGTATTTGACACTACTAGTCATTGCTAGTCATTGTTGGCCAGGATTATTCAATTTAAGTTATCCACACACTTACTGAGCTCCTATTCTGTGTCAGACTATGCTAGGTAATAAGGATATAATGGTGACTAGAACAAACATAAGCCTTATGAAGATTGCATTCTAGTTGAATATTCAAGAAAGTAATGAAGGCCGGGCGCGGTGGCTCAAGCCTGTAATCCCAGCACTTTGGGAGGCCGAGGCGGGTGGATCACAAGGTCAAGAGATCGAGACCATCCTGGTCAACATGGTGAAACCCCGTCTCTACTAAAACTACAAAAAATTAGCTGGGCATGGTGGCACGTGCCTGTAATCCCAGCGACTCAGGAGGCTGAGGCAGGAGAATTGCCTGAACCCAGGAGGCGGAGGTTGCGGTGAGCCGAGATTGCGCCATTGCACTCCAGCCTGGGTAACAAGAGCGAAACTCCGTCTCAAAAAAAAAGAAAGTAATGAAGAAGAAATGGAGGTAGAGGAGAGGTGTAATTAGGACCTAGACAGGCTGACCTAGGAATCCCTTAAGAGATTTCGGCTGAGAAATAATGGACAAGGAGTTAGCCATGCAAAGAGAGAAAAGAAGTATGTACACCCGTAATAACTATGTGTGTGTACATATATGCGAATACACATAGGCATTAGTAGGATTTAATGCCTCACTCCATTTATTTATATATATGAATACATATACATATCTGGACCACGCCACCGCACTCCAGCCTGGTGACAGCAACTCTCCATCTCAAAAAAACAGAAAAATGCCAGGTGCTGTGGCTCAAGCCTGTAATCCTAGCAGTTTGGGAGGCTGAGACAGGCAAAATGCCTGAGCTCAGGAGTTCGATACCAGCCTGGGCAAGATGGTGAAACCCCGTCTCTACTAAAATACTACAAAATCAGCCAGAGGTGGTGGCAGGCATCTGTAATCCCAGCTACTCAAGAGGCTGAGGCACAAGAATTGCTTGAACCCAGGAGGCGGAGGCTGCAGTGAGCCAAGATCACTCCACTGCACTCCATCCTGCGCAACAAAGCAAAACCCTGTCTCCAAGAAAAAGAAACATGACCCCAAAGTGTAAAACAAAATCTCAATTAAGGGAGACAAAGGCCGGGCGCGGTGGCTCAAGCCTGTAATCCCAGCACTTTGGGAGGCCGAGGCGGGTGGATCACAAGGTCAAGAGATCGAGACCATCCTGGTCAACATGGTGAAACCCCGTCTCTACTAAAAATACAAAAAAATTAGTTGGGCATGGTGGCGCGTGCCTGTAATCCCAGCTACTCAGGAGGCTGAGGCAGGAGAATTGCCTGAACCCAGGAGGCGGAGGTTGGGGTGGGCCGAGATCGGGCCATTGCCACCCCAGCCGGGGAAAAAAGAGTGAAACGCCGTCTCAAAAAAAAAAAAAAAAAAAAAAAAAGGGAGACAAATTTGGGCTCTAAAATACAATAAAGAACTTTGCAGCTGTTTATAAAAATTGAACAGGCTTATTACACGAAAATGAAATAGAGGTCAATGAATTTACTTTAGCTAAATACTACATGACTATTTGTTAAAATGCAATGGAAAAGAAACATAAACTCGCCGGGCGCGGTGGCTCAAGCCTGTAATCCCAGCACTTTGGGAGGC